CGCTCACTGAACAACTTGTTGCTTTGTTTTAATTGCAGGTGGTGTTTTGTGTCATTTCCTTGCTATCCAAACTAGCCTCATCATACATACCAATTTCCTAATGACTTCTAAATCTGACATCTGATAGGTTTGTGGCTGCTGTTTTAGTTCCTTAACCCAGAGTTCTACTCAAATCCCTGCAAATCCCTAATTTTAAAACTCTGTTTTAGGGACAAAAGCATACTGAGCTATTTCTTTCTTCTTATTTTTCTTCAAAGCTTAACTGATGTTTTAGTTTCATTATTTGCACTAAGATAACATGCACTAAGACTTCCTATAAAATAACTGGAAGCATTCAATTTGGTCTGCCACATACATCCTTAGTCTGCAAACTCTTCCACTGCTACTCATGAAACTGTTCAGTGTTATAGTAGAGCACACACACCTTTAGGATGTCTCATATTGAAGATGCTACAGTTTCCTAGTGAATGGTAGAAAAACAGAGAGAACTCAAGATTGAGTTCGAAACCAAAATCTTAATTCCTATGCACATATGACTAGAATTCTGGAAGCTTTTGCCAAACTATCACTCTCTTAGAGTTGTCAGCTCAGAAATATTCAACATTAGAAAACCAAAGTTTTAAAATACCTCACCAAAGAGACTGGGTGTCTGGCCCATTTGACCGCCACCACCCCAAAGGCAGGGAGGTCCCACCAAAGTCTCCATTTAGCAGTAAAAGAAATGAGTTGCATTTTCTTCCTCCAGCAATGACCATGGCTTGGGTGACAAAAAGGGTAATGAAGGGATGCTGGTGTACTTTCACTTTCCAGCATCCAAAGGTTCTCAGTAGGCATGCCTCCATTCCATAAGATTGGAAGAAAAAATATTTGCCATAATAAGGAGAACCTAAAAATGCTGGAATATTTTCAGAAAAAAATCTTAGCAGATTGGCAAACCTATTATTATTCTCTCTCCTCCATTCTTTTTCAATTTATTTTCCCTCTTTCCACTCTCCTCCCACCACCATACATTCACTTATACATATACTAAATCTATGGACTAACTATACCAGGGTGCCAAGAAATTCAAATCTCACCTTTCAATTTAAGATATTTATGGGCTACCTGATATCACTAATTCTACAAAAGTCTTCTGTAAACAGCAAAGGCATCCTCCATTTTTGCTCTTCAAATTTGTGTCCAAAACCACAAAATCCACATAGCTGATTTCCTGACCAACATCAGAAGACCAGTAAACAATAATATGCTATTCTAGGCAAGATGGTCTCTGTGATACTAAAGGCTGAGTTCCAATTCCCTAGACCAGTACACTGTTCCCTTTACCTTACCTACTAATAACTGCACTTAACATCATGTTCCCTTTGGTTTCGAGAACCAACAATACAGATGTGTATTACAGAGAGCCAACAGATGTGGCTAGGTTTGCACACTGATGTAAAAGTTACGCTCAAGTCAGCACCAAACCTCAGGAGTTCAACAGTAAGTCTACCTATAAATGATGGCAGGGCTGCCAAGGAAGAAGAAGGAGAGTACTAAGAAGTCTATGAAGTAACATGTGGTTAGAAACTCTCTTGTATTACATGCAGGGAAATCACTGGGTGATCTTAGCTCCCCAACGAGACTGAACTCTCTGAGGGCAGGTGCTGCATCTCATATTTATTTGGGATCCCCATGGTACCCGCCACACAGCTGAGCACATAGTGTATTCTCTAATAATGCTTACTGTTTTATTTGATTTAATGCCATGGTGATAAGGTGTGATGGAGTGCTTGCTGCAAGGGAAGAAGTTTTGACTCCTCTACAATGTCATCATAAGCCTTGTAACTGACTGCAGCTAATGAAGGGAGTAGGTTTGTCACAAGGTAGCCCAGCAGAGAAACCTAATGTGCACTGCTTTGGTCCCAATCTGGAGAGTAATAATGTAATATATGCTCAGAAAAGAAATGTTATCCTGAATTGAATTGACCTGTTTACTTGTCTGTCTCCCTGTAAACTCCCCAGGGTCAAAAATCAAGTGTTTTATTTTTGTATCCTGGGCAAGTAGCACAGTGTCTAATACATTCTAAGTGTACAACAAATGTTCCTGGGTTTAATTAATGAAAAAATAAAATAAGGGTTTAATGGAATAATGTAAAGAAAAATGTAAGTGACATAAGATTTAATACATAAATTTCTGTAGAATCTCATATTTTTCACATCTTAGCACTTATTCTGCGCTATAACTGCTTAATAAATGGTGGTTTCTTGGATGGATTAATTAATTAATTAATTGGAAAATATAAAGAGAAGATAAGAAATATATCAGGATATTACTATCCTAGGAATGGAGACTATCCCATTGAACCCGATAGTAGCATAAATCATTCTATACTGCAAATCACCTATTGGTTTGCTTGTCCTGTCTGTTAGAATGTGCACTCCCTGAGACAATAGAACATCTTTTTCATATCTATAACACCAGAGCCTAGGGCAGAAAAAGTAGACCTTCAACAAATATTAGTTGAATGTATGCATCAATCATTCTCACTCTTCAGTAGATTTCACTGTACCTAAGTATTCTACCTAGTCCACATTCAGGGTCTTCAGGTATGGAAAGAAAAGGAGAAGTGTTATTTTCCCCATGCATAACTTTGTGGCAGATCCAAGTTAAATGGCCTGATTCATGCTCAGCTGTGAGAGGGTCTCTCCTCTTTCTGAAAGGGTTTGTCAGTTGAACTTTCCAGGACTACTTATTAGAAATACACACTTAACCTCACTGTGTCTAGTACACACTGCCTTGGCCCTTGATTAGTCCCACATATTACATCTGTGTGATTTTGTTAAATAAGGAGAGCATGTGGCTTTGTGAGTTGGGGATAGGATCAGAATTCAGACTTTCAATGGCTTTTTGAAATAATTGAAGCAATATTTTGTTTCATTTTGCCCATAGGAGAATAAAAAAAAAGTACCAAGATCTTAGTGCATACACCATCATATGTCTCCTGCCCCCTCTAAGTATCTCATAACACCAGGGCTCATATTTCTCTAGTGCCTTGAATTGATTACATAAAAAATCACCAAGCCCTCAGATGATTATTCCTTTGCGTATCTCCACAAGCAATAACAGTCAGCACCTGCACCCACAACCTTGCCACCTTTTACCTTCATCATTTAATGTCCAATATGAATACTCTAACCACACCAGTTTGTAGGTGTTATCTATATAAAGCCAACTTAAATTCCTCTTTAGTTACAGTGTCTATGGGGTCATGCTCAGGTGTGCAGGCCATTATAAATGATTTTTCAATTATTGTCTAATTAATACATCTATGATTCAAGGAACACCTATGTGTCAATATCTTATATTACACAATGTCATATTACTCCTTGGACCAATGTTGTATGGTAGATATTCCTGTTTTGTAGATGAGGAAAGAGACAGATTCCACACCAGATTCAAAATCATGTTCTACCTGATTCCACTACATAGCACTACCTCTCCCTCTCCGTTGCTGAACTCCACAAGTAGTCCTCCAAAAAGTATAGACTTCTAATTTCTAGTAGTATATACTGAAATCCATAATTATAATTGATCCTATACAGCATGATACTGGATTTTCAATAAATCCTTATTTATAGACTTATATATTGAAAATATGGTGCTTTGTTGCTTACAGAATATCAGTTTCTCATTAAAAGCACTGCTGTTTGGTCCAATTAATTCTGATGAGAATTATTCTTCAGGAAACCAGGAAAAGTAATTGATTCAAGAAGTCTTAAGACCCTTTGCCCTATGAAATTGATACAAATACTATGAGCCCATTTTATATGCATCATAGCTTAAGTATATCAGGCTGAATTATTTCCCAGGCAGGAAGGTGTCATTGAAACAGAACTTGCCAGAGAGTCATAGAGCCCTGCTATCTAGTCTCTCCTCTCTCTCTCTCCCTTTCCCTGTCTCTCTCTCCTGTTCTGTGACTCTTTACCATCTCTCTTACCATCTCTGGACTTCTGTTTCACCATCTACTGATGGGCAATCTATCAAGATAACTATTTGCAAGGATCAAAGGAGACAATGGTCATACAGGTGCTTCAAAAAATGTGGAAGTGTTCTTCAAATATACAGTATTCCTTTCATTAGTGGCCTGGAATGGGACATATACCTCCAAGTGCATAAAATTTCCAACCAAAAAGGGACTTAAGCAATTCATGGAAAAATGAAATCAACTTAAGAACTTTAGCCCTCCACCCAGCCAGCCAGCCACCCACCATCATCCATGTTATCACCCTACTACCCTGAGATATTTCAATAACCAGCAAACACTGGACTACATAATGCTTTAAAAATGCTTCCATTTGAAAACATTCATACCTGGTAAAGGGAAACAGAGCTAATTCAAATCATAGTTAATTTCTGAAATTTTCATTATTAGTGAGAATTTCTGCTTCCTCGTTTGTCAAACGTCACTATAAGAACTACCAAGAAATGGCAAAGTGATTTTTAAAATTATTTTGTCTCCCTTTAAGTAACCCATCCATATTCTTGGCAAAGCATGTATATGGCCAAATAAAAAGCAAAAGGGGGCTTCAGGAGGCTGAATCACTCTCATACTGGGAACTTGGCCCTTGAGCATTCTAAGGTTCACCTATCTTTAACACTACTTGTTGATTCTTTCTCAGCCACTTTAACTGGAATGCTACTGCCACTGGCTGGCAAACATATTGTATTTGCAACAGGTGGAGCAAATTCATATTATGCCAGAATACCATACAGAGATTTCAAATGCTCAGACCCCTGGAGCTCCCACTCCCAACACCCACCCCTACAAAGTCTCCATATGTTGGGTTACCCTTTGCCCCAAGAGAGCCTGGTAGCAAGCCCTGACCACAGAAATGGGCTTAGGCAGAGAAGTTCTCTCCACCTGTGCCAGGGAATTCTCCAGCATAAAGGCCTATTCTGTTAGCAAGCAGCAAGGAAAGAGATCTGGGAGGACCTCACAGAGCTGCTCGGCTGCACTCACCTCAGGCAGAGGCACACCATTGATGATCAAGTCTGGCTGCTGGGGACCTTGGCTGTTGAAAGAGTGATGATAGATGTGGTTGGTGCTGGTATTGCGGGTATTCTGGTTCTCCACATTCAGGAAAGTACTCTCAGAGCGGCGGCAGCCCAGGGGCAGTGTCTGCTGGTGGTAGTCGAAATAGTTGAGGGAAGAGGTCAGGGAGGAGCAACTGACAACATTCATTTTGTCTGTCTCCTCCACATCCCGGGGTACCAGACGAATGTCATTCTTACTGATTTTTTTCTTCTTGCTTGATTTCTTTTGATGCCCATAGGAGTACTCAGCGATTCTATATGACAAAAAAGGCAACATATATTGCTAATGCCCTCCAGAACCATGTGTTGATTAATAAATATTAAGCACCCCACAGAGTTTCACCCAATCTCCGCTCCAGCTTCTTATTCCAGTGCATTACATCATTGGGTTTCTCCCTGTGCATTTTACATGTGAAAAAAACTAAGGGCCACACAGTTTTCATATAAAACAGACCAACCTCCCACTCTTCCACCCCCCAAAATGTTTCCATACTTTGGATGTGGAATTCCTTATTGTGAGTGGCTATTTAGCAAGGGGGGGGGGGTGGGCAGTGAAAGTTGAGTCTATGAGAAAGAAAGCATGAAAATGTTCAAATCTGGAGCTCCCCTAGATCCCAAAGGAACCCCTGGGTGAAATAAGAAGGAAGTCTTAATTTAACAGAAGAGGAGATAGAAGGAAATAAAAACTCACCCCCTTTCCAGTGCCTCTAGGCATTTTCCATGTGGGGAACACTCTCAATCAGATTTCTCTTTGATTCACCTGATCAGTTTTGGACTGGGGTAGGAGATCAGACCCCATCCTTTGACATATCCTCAGCTTTTCTCCTCCAGACCCTCCATCCCCCTGTCCTAGCCCTGCTCCCTTCTACTCCCTTCCCTGACCCCTCCTCTCCTGGAGAAATCTGATAGCCAAACCCATTTGAATGAGGGGAAATGCTTGTTACCTCTCTCCCCTCAGGCTCACTTTCTCCTCTGCCTTTTTGTCTTGCTCCTTGCTAATGGGAGAAACCGAGATGCAATGCAGACACTTGCTGTTTTGTCCTTTTATAAAACGGCTGAGGAGACAAGTGATGGTTAAACAATTACTGCAAAGGAATTTAAAGGTTAGTGCATTCAGCATCCTTCTCCATTCAGGTGTACCTACAAGCAGCTGCACTGCAACTGGAACACAAAGAGCTCAATTTAATTAACACTGACACAGACCCAGCAACGTGCACCAAAGACACCAAGCATTAAGGCACTTAAACAGAATACATTAAAATGTAGCCAGATTCTCAAAGTTATTTATTACTTTGCACATAATGATTCACCTTATTGTTTCAAAATTCCATTTATGGGCAATAATCAGCAAAACAATAGGGTTAGTAAATAATATGGGGTTGATCTTCACAAGGGAAACTGTGTCTGCATTCTCTCTCAACAAAGCTAATTATTGAATACAAAAGGAGCCCAATTCAGCAGCAATTGCAGATCACCTCACAAGTCTCATAAATGAATGCATTTGGGAAGAGGCTCAGGAGAGGCTGAGAACAGGAAACCTCTGCCTAATACATGGCAACACAAGGTCTTGAACTTTAGGTTTCTGAAAAGTCTGAGCATACAGGAAGAATGCATATTTCTAGAGGCAAATTCTTACTCTGTCCCTGGGATCTTCCTAGAGCAGTTGCATTCCCCTCACCCTTTTTAGCTCAGTGCTCAGGCAGACCTGCAGTGATAGCAAGCTGATGCTTACTGGAGTTTGAGAGCAGATAAAATCCCAAAGACCCCAGGACTAGGGTTTATTTTCTTTACTAATCTGTTTACAGAATCAATGGGAAGTTTTAATGATTTTGTTTACCCATGATGGGTAAGTTTGGCAATGCCCCATCCAATTACTTGGCTGAGGCATTCACTGCACAGCCCTTTCTGTATCGGCCAATTATTTAATTAAACTGTACTTCATTAATCCCAAACCATCACAGGGAACAGAGCTCTTTACAAAATACACATGTGAACGAAGTTGGAGAGAACTGAGATTTTCTTTTTTCTTTTTCTTTTTTAATTTCAAATGCTTTCCTCCCTGTTTAATGATCTCCCTGGCAAGCTCTCAGAAAGAGCTTTCACTTCTAGTCATACATTACCAGGAAGTGGCAAAGCCTTCACTATCTTTATTTCAAGATCATTTCTTTTTCATCAAGAAAGGGGTCTTATACATTTACTTTATGCTAAGGAAATGGCTTAAAAAGAGAGTCCACTCTCTCATTATCTCCATATAAATAAAATTTTACAGACCCCGAATTTTTCTCCTATAAAAATCGCCACTGGCAATCACAGGTTTCAAAGGTAAGAGCAATATTAATTTCCATTTCTCCCATCTGAAATGACTCAGAGCTGAAGGAAAGAAAAGTCATGGCCATTTCACTAGTAACAGGATTAAAGCATTTATGAGGCATTGCAGCTGCTCTTTTATGGCACCTGATTGATATTCATGTGTGGTTAGCATTTGTCTACTAACTTGTGTAATGCAGAGAATAGTAAAAGGGAAACAATAATTGCATGGCTGTTACATATTCAGGGGTCTCTGATTCACACAAGTATGCATTTCAGATGGTGTCAAACACAAATTGGATCTATAGGAACATATTTTGACTGATTAACATGCAAGCACAGATGGCACAAAAGACACACTGGATGTTTAGGTGTGTTGAAAGCACACACACACCTTGGTTAGAAACAACAGTATCATTCATTTTCAGGAAACTAAAGAAACTTCTTTTTTTTTTCAACCATTTTGATGAGACACTGCTGGAAAAAAATGTATTATCCTAAATTTATTCTAGAAGTACTTATATTTATTTGTTCTCTCCAATTGTAAGGAAGGGCTTCAACAAGACCCTCTGATATGTTTTTCAGGAAATTTTCTTAATACTACTTGCCATTCCAGTTTCTGTCTTTCTATTCTCATATTCTCTCTCTCTCTCATACACACACACACACACACACACACACACACACACACACACACACCCTGCATACAGTTCAAGAGAAACTGTAACACAATAAATAGCCCATAGTGACATCCACTGGTAGGGACCAGACCTTAGTGCTACAGCAGAGTCCCACATTAGAGAAAAGCACCATCAGCTCCAGAAGACTGCCATTTTTACCACAACATCTGGAGGCAAAGTCCTACCCCCCATTGGGATATTAGGTGTCTACCCCACCAACCAACCAGATATTTGAAAACATAAATGACTGGTAGAATTTCACCTTATATAGCCAGATGTTTGGGGAATAGATAAAAAAATAAGCCAATAACACACTTGTAGAAAACACTAGGCACCTGCTTCCCCACACATTCTTGTTCTCTCTTCCCTCAACTCTCTGTTTCCTACCTTAGACACTCACTCACCGGCTGTCTTCAGTTCATCCTTACAACAGGACAGGGCAACTACAAGCACTTCCTCTCCTTTCAATATCTATCCTCAAAACACTGTGGCCCTGGGGCGCCTGGGTGGCGCAGTCGGTTAAGCATCCGACTTCAGCCAGGTCACGATCTCGCGGTCCATGAGTTCGAGCCCCGCGTCAGGCTCTGGGCTGATGGCTCGGAGCCTGGAGCCTGTTTCCGATTCTGTGTCTCCCTCTCTCTCTGCCCCTCCCCCGTTCATGCTCTGTCTCTCTCTGTCCCAAAAATAAATAAAAACGTTGAAAAAACACTGTGGCCCTGAAATCAAGTCGTGGACCTTGGTGGTTCTGCTGTAAATTAACTCTCTCTCTCTCTCTCTCTCTCTCTCATTTTTTCCCTGCCATAACTTCATGGAGACAGCTGTGCAAATTTTAAAAAATGAAAACTGCTTTTCTGCTCATCATCATTGTGTGACAGAATCCACTCGAACAGTAAATGATTGTCTTCCAGCAAACTGTCAGATCAAAAGAATTGATAAACTTGGACTGCCACAAACTTTCCCCCCTCCAAAAAGAAGCACAGCATGTACAGAACATGCATTTAAGTAGGAAACAAAAGCACTGGTATTTTCACACAGAGGCACAGATACACCTTATTCATCCAAGACAAAGGAAAGAAAAAATTTTGGCTCTACCTGCAGTTGTAGGTCCGGATCTCTTTGTTGTCTCGCTTGCACTTGATCGCCACGAAGATCATAGTGACAAAGAGGATGCCCGCAATGGAGCCCAGGGCAATAATAAAAATGAGGGACAAGTTCACCGAGCCCATTGACTCTTGGGCATCAAGAGCAGGGGACAGGTAGATTAATAGGAGTGCAGAGGCGGAGAGAGACGTCTTGCCATGGTCGTGGGCCACCACAATAAGCTCATAAGAAGCCTTTGAGCTCTCACTAAAGGTGCGAGTGGTTCTGACTTCTCCATTGACCTGATCTATTTCAAAGAAGCCACGGTCGCCCTCGGTCATGTCGTAGGTGACCCGGCCGTTCTCGCCCTCATCATAGTCATCTGCTTTGACGACCGTCACCAGGTAGCCTATGCCAGAGTTGCGGGGGATGTAGACCTCTGCAGTGCCATTGATCAGGGGTGGGGCCGTGATGACCGGAGTATTATCATTGACGTCGAGGATGATGACCCGAACGGTGGCGTTGCTCTGCAGCGAGGGCAGGCCGCCATCCTTGGCCAGCACCTTGAATTCGAATGTCTTGGTCTGCTCGTGGTTGAAGGATCGAAGCGCGTAGATGTCACCGGAGTTGGGGTTGATAGAGACATAGGTGAAGACAGGCATGTCCCGCACCTGCGATGGCACGATCTGGTAGGAGACACTGCCATTGAGACCCAGGTCAGGGTCTCGGGCAGACACGGAAAGCAGGTAGGCACCGGGCGTGTTGTTCTCCTGCACAATGACCTGGTAGTAGGGCTTGGAGAAGTGCGGGTGGTTGTCATTCTCGTCAGTTATTCGAACTGTAAAGGACTTAGCACTCTGCAGCATGGGCACACCGCCATCACGCGCCTGGATCGTGAGGTTGTACTGGTCATGCTGCTCACGGTCCAGCCGTCCATCCACCAGGATAGTAGAGAAGCTCTCATACTCCTGAAGCCGAAAGGGCACGTTGCCCAGCAAACGGCACTGCACGCGCCCATTGAGGCCAGAGTCCCGATCAGACACCCGCACCAGCGCAATCACGTAGCCTGGAGGGGCACTCTCGCTCACCTCCACCAGCTCGCTGTTAACTGACAGCAGGTTGATGACCGGTGGGTTGTCATTGGTGTCCAGAACGCTGACGGTCACCTTGCAGTGTGCCGGGATGGAGTTGGGTCCTAAGTCCTTGGCCTGCACGTCCAGTTCGTACACGTGGCCCTCTTCATAGTCTAGGGCACCGGTGACTGTGACGAGGCCACTGTGCGGATCGATCTGGAAAAGCTCGCGCGTGCGGTCATTGACATAGCCGTAGAAGGAGTAGACCACCTGTCCATTGGTGCCTTCGTCTGGGTCGCTGGCATTGAGACGGATGACCGGTGTACTGGGAGGTGAGTTCTCTGGCACGCTCACTGCATAGGTGGACTCGCCAAACACCGGGTTGTTGTCATTGGAATCGGTCACCTTGATGCTGAGGCCAACAGTGCCCAGGTGCGGTGGGTCGCCGCCGTCGAGCGCAGTGATGTGAAAGCTGTAGTGCGACTGCGTCTCTCGATCCAGACTCTTCTCCACTACAAGTTCCGCAAATCGTGAGCCATCGCCACGCGTCTTGATCTCCAGGCCAAACAGCTCATTAGGCGTGAGCTCATACGTCTGAACGCCAAAGCTGCCGGAGTCCGGGTCATAGGCGCTGTCCAGCGGGATGCGCGTGCCCGGACTAGCTGCCTCTGAGATCTCCAGCTCAATTTGTGCCGCCGGAAAGCTGGGCGCATTGTCGTTCAGATCCTTGATCTCCACCTTAATCACACATATCTCCATTGAGCTGGACATGACCTCAAGCGATATGATGCACTTGGGGCTCTGGCGGCACAGCAGGTCGCGGTCGATCTTCTGCTTGGTGACAAGCAAGCCCGAACTGGGGTTAATATCCACCAGGTGCGGAGCTGAGTTGGACACCACACGAAAGGCAGAGGCCTGCCGTGGATCCAGAGCGAAACCCGCCTCACGAGCGTCCTTGGCCACGTTGGCGATTACCGTCCCGGCGCGCTGTTCCTCTTCTACCGAGTACTTGAGGTTAATGAGGGCGGCTGCCTGTGTCCACAGTACGGCCAACAGCAGCAGCACGGGCAGCAGGAGAGACTCCATGGCTGCGCGGGGCTCTGCCTGGCCTCGCCTCTCCACACCCCTCCGAGGCCTACGCCGCCGGCGCTCCAGCTTCCCGCTGACTCGGGCCGCCTGTTGCGCGCGCCCCAGGGCCCCGGAGGCCGCGGGAGGCGTCCCGCCCAGGGCGGCCCCGCGGCGCGGGGGAGACACCCGCGCCGGCTCCAATGCTGAGGTTGCAGCAGACTCGGAGGGGGCTGGCGGGGGGCTTGGGGGCTCTGGGGGGCCGAGGGAGCGCCGCGCGGCCCCGAGCCCCCTCCCTCCAGCCCGGCTACTCAGTTTTCCCCCTTCAAAGTTAGCCAGGCGCGACTGGCTGAGGCGGCGCAGGGCTGAGGGTCTGACGCCTTCTGAGCTGCCTGGTCGACGGGAGGCTGAGTCTGGACCGCACCTGGGGCTAAGACAGGGAGGTCGGTGGGGGTGCAGCCTCTCAGACACTGCCCAACCCGCCTTGGCGCACCAGCACTGAGGCTGGCGAACGCGTTGTGTGTGCACCTGGCATGCGCAAGGACCTCCCCCCAGCTCTCCTGGCTCACTGCGGAGAGAGAACCCGCCTGGAACGCGCCCTCCGAGGTCCAGGGGGGGCACGCTGGCTTTTTCGAGGTCTGTTGGGGAGAAAGGATGATCAAAGATGGGACTTAGAATTGCTGTCAAGCGCTGGAGGCGCCCGAGTAACCAGCTGAAAGGGATGGCAGTTCCAGGGCTGGCAGAAGGGGGAGGGGAGAGAGGGAGGCTGCTGAGACAAGACAGCGCTCCCTCTCGCTGAGGCTGGCTTCAGAAGACTCGGGAGGGGGGGGGGGGCACGTCTGTCCAGGCTTGGAGATAGGTGCAGAGTCCCCTCCACAGAGCAGTTGGACTGCGGGCGTTTGCGTCTCAGAAATCCAAGTTACCAACGCAGCCCGGGCCTCCACGTCAAGTTTGTGAAAACGGGGCGATGGGGATTTGTCCAAGAAAATCAAAGTCCCATTCTTTCCAATGGCCCGGGGGAGGGCAGGGAATGGCGAAGAGGGAAGGGAAATCGACAACAGTACCGGCAAGGAGAGGCAGGGCCGCTGCCGCGGGTACTGGGGGCTTCACCTCCTCCCTTGGTCTAGGCTGGGGTGTAGGTCTGCGGGCCGTTGTCGCCACCGCCGCGGTGGGAGGAAACCCTCCTAGCCCAGTCGAAGGTCGCTAAGGTCCACCTCAGCAGCTGCCACGGTCGAGGGTTTTGTCGCTGCCAAAGTTTACTTGCGGGAGCGTCTTGATTCCATCTTCCCAAAGAGGCGCTGGCTTCGCTGCGTTTGGGCTCCCTCCCTCCCGGACGCTCTCGCACTCGGGAGGTCTGTCTTGCTCTCTGTGAATGCGTGAGAGGAAGAGTGAGTGTGTGGTGCGGGACGTGTGAATGTAGGAGTGTAAGTGAGCAGGGGTGGGAGATTTCCGATCTCCTATGAAGGCGCTCAGCCGGAATGCCGCCGAGAGCAATGCGCCAAGGGCCCGCACCAGGCTAGGGACGCGAGTACCACTGCCCTCCGGGCAAGTCCGGCATGGTGTGCTGGAGCTGTGCTGCCGTCTGCGCCCTCTGGTCCGTCTCCCCCTACGCCCGCCACCGCCGCTGCTGCTTCTGCTGCTGCTCCTCCCGTTGCCGCAAACTACTGGCGGTGGAGTCTGGAGAGAGCTGGTGAGAGTCGGACTGCGGAGCTGGGCTACGCCAGGCTCTGGCCAATCAGCGCGCCGCCCAGCGGGCTCCGGGCTTGGGGCGGGGCCAAAGCACGGGGGGCGGGGCTGGGCGGGGCCAGCCGGAAACTTACACACTGGCAGGACTAAGTGGTACCCCCGCCCTCCGAGCGGGCGCCGGAGTCTGTAGAGGCCCGGCGGGCGAGCAGGCAGGGGCAAGAGGACTGGGTGGAGTGGGGAGGAGGGCGTGCTGGTGATGAGACTGAGCATTCCCGGGAACTGCGCGCCTCTCTTGTTTGTAGATTTGAGAAAAGATAAGGATTTGATTCTCTAGGCATGTTCAGTTCCCTCACATTTGTTCATATCTTGAATATAATATTCATATCCATATTCTTTCTCTCTCTTCACCACCCTCCCCCCTCCCTCTTTGTCTCTTCACCCTGGGTTTTGTCTGTCTGTTTCTCTGTCTTCCTCGCCTCTCTTTCTCTGGTAGTGGAAAGAAAAAGGAAAGGAGAACGAGCCCCCGAGGTGGTGGTCATTCATCCGGCTCTTGGCGGGTGAGTCTTCACTTCAGCTGAGAACCGCGGCGGCCATCCTCCCGGACCGTCACCTCCATCCCTCCTTCCCCGGCAAACGCTGCAATTATTCCCCCAGAGCAAGGCCTTTGGCCCGGTTCGGTTCGCTCTTGTCTGCTGCTTGTTAATCAGATGGGATCTTTGTCGCAGGGACTGAGACGCGGAGGGAGCAGGACAAATTTCGTCGCTCCTCACCGCACCCTTTTGGTGAATTTAGCTCCCTATAAATAAACTGTACGTTGGAGAAGAGCGGGTGGAGCGGACGCTGCCGTGCCGTGCCGTGCCCTGCCCGGAGAGCTCCAGCCCTGCGGGAGCTGCGAGGCGGGCCCTCAGTCCCGATAGGTGGCCGGCCGCTGGATCCGGCTCCGGTGTGGGGCGCTCCCTAGCCTTCCCAGGGGTCTCAGTCCCAGGGGACTGCCAGCTCTCTCAGGCGGTGGTGGCAAAGGCTGCGGCCTGTACCAGTGCTGGGAAGATGAAGGACAGCGTGGCTGGGGCTGACATCAAACTCAGCGTGCCTTCCGAACTAAGGCGCCCTGAGGACAACGGGGGACTACTCCCCACCCTGTTCTGTGGCTCTTAATTAAGATCACCAGCAGGAAGAAACAAAAACACGCCGTAGAACAAGTCGGGATTTTTTTCATCATAGAGTGGGGGGTGCGGGGACCAGCTTCTGAATTCACAATACTTGGAAGAGTAAACCTACCTTCTGAGTGAGTCGTCTTGGATGTTTGGGAGTCTTGGGTAAGCAAACTTATAATTAGTCCAGCGACACTGGCCTGAGCTTGTGGGTTTAGAATCAGACTCACTTTTGCCCTTTAAAAAACATTAAACGAGAAAGGGGGAAGTGGAATTTGGGAACATAATAGGTTTTCTCAAAAATGCCATCTTTCAGAGAGCAACAGAGCTTCTTTTAAAAGACACTTCTTCCCAGAGGAGCTGGTTTAGCAGCCTTTACCTTGGAGGCGGGAAGGAGAAGACACCTGCCTCCTACAAAAAGGAATTATTTCAGGAGTGAGGTTACAATCCCCTGAACGTGCCTCCGAAACCAAGGGGAGGGCGCTGGGAGCCTGATCCAATTTGGCCATGGGGATCCTTTCATATTAGGATGCCAATCAGCCCAAAACATTAGGAAGAAAATCGAAGTGTGTTCAATGAGTATCATTTAGTCTTGGTCATTTAGAGGTACGGGTGGACAGGGGCGCCTGGGTGGCTCAGTGGGTTAAGCATCCGGCTCAGGTCATGATCTCACGGTCCGTGAGTTCGAGCCCCGCCTAGGGCTCTGTGCTGACAGCTCAGAGCCTGGAGCCTGCTTCGGATTCTGTGTCTTCCTTTCTCTAACCCTCCCCCCGTTCATGCTCTGTCTCTCTCTGTCTCAAAAATAAGTAAACATTAAAAAAAATTAGAGGTACGGGTGGACAGCAGAGTGGTGGCTGGAGGGAATCCAGTGGTCCTCCCGTTTTTCTGCACAGCCGGTTTGAGAAATGGGCAAGTAGTGGAGGAGAGTGACAACATGGCAGGCAGCGTGGGCGCACCTCAGAGCTCCACAAAGAGAAGGGTCTCATTTGATTTATCACTGTCATTTACCTTTGATGTCAGCCAGTGGGAATGAAGTGAATCTTTGTCTAATTAAAAATGCCTAAAAAGGCATTTGAAATGGGTTTGCTATCTGATCACGGGATGTGAATTCGGCGTTTGGCAGCTTTCTAAAATATTGCTTGCACTATTTAAACAGAACAATTATCAGCATGCTAAAATGTTTGCATGCCATGCTTAGAAGCTTTTAGCTGTAAACTTTAAGGCGATCTGTTCCCCTTTAAGTTAAAAAAGGATGATGCTGCTTCCTTGTGGTGCAGGCTGTCAGGAACCCGCTGATCAATAAAAGTAAACTGGCGCCTCCACCGCTTGATCGAGCGGGAGCAAACAGTCTGAGAGGTAGTCTTGGCCATTAACAATCCCCCAGGTAACAACAAATGGAAGAATTACTCAAGTAAAATGATTAACATTGCTGTGGCATCTGTAAAGATGCACACAACAAGATAAGAAGGCTGTGAACCTCTTACCTTGGGGAGTGCTAATAGAATGTCTATATTATGCTGTCTTTTAAAGATAAATAGGGGAATTCAATTCACATACAATGTCATTACCTTTATAATTGCAATCACATTGTAAAGACATGTTCTGCATTTGCAAAGACAAACATGCTCTTCCCTAAGGAGATCAGGTTCCCTGCTTCCTGCTCGCTGTTCACACTTGAGGCACCTCTCCTTTCCAAGCAGAGCACCCCAAGTACTTCCAGATATACCAAATGGCTTTTATGGAAGCCAGGCTATGAGAGAGGCACAGGAGTGTATCTTTGTTTTCCATCTTTACCATCACCCCCAAGCTCAAATTGATAGTTACACCTCCCCTCAAAAAAAATAGTTCTTCCATCTTCCCAGTCTGTTTCTACAGATAATCCTAACACCGTTTGCTCTGATAATGTGTTTTTTTTTTAAATAAGCACACTTGATTTTTATACTCCAATAATGCTATTGACTAAATGAGTGCCTGAAAACACCTTCATGATCGGGAATTTATTAATTAAATTAATAAAACCATTCTGGGGAAAAAAACGTTCTGTATGAGGATAATAAAAACAAAAAGAAAGTTCTCTCAGTCTTAGCTTCACTTCAATCCTGAAGGAGCCCCACCTACTCAGCCTGTTTAGAGACACAAGAGGGACATCTAGTGACCGTCCTCTGTATTTTTGACCCAACTTTT